GCTCACTGAAAACTATCTCAAGTCCAGTAACATAAGAATATCAGTTAAATAAATAAAACAGCAGTTAAATAAAATTCTTCTACATACAGAGAAGATACAGGAGCTACAGGTGTGCTTGGAAGGAGCAGCTCAAAGACAAGTAAAGCAAAGTAACCTAAGAGACAACCCATTTAGCACCGGGTTATCTGAACATTATAAGTAAAAATGTGTGAAATTATTAAACCCCTTCATTCTGAGTATGTTACGTTCACATTACATAGACCACATATGAGCAAAATAACTTGTTGCCTTCACCCAGAAAAAATTAAGGAACCCAAGTGTCAGTAACTGAATCTGGAGTATTGATTCAGACTGGGCACCTGCATGTGAATTTGATACCAGAAGAAAAAAGACAAAAGAAGTACAATAAATGAAGGGCACATCAGCATAAGGAAATAAATACAGTTGCTTACATATATTGGAAGTATGAATTTCTCTAGCTCATACGCACATTTTCCTCTAAAGCTGAAGCTATAGCAGCCACAACACCAGCAACACAAAGTACTACATGGTAAGACCAGTGCCTCCAGGATGCCCTCCTAAAAGTTTCAATCATGTGATAGGAGGTAGAAAACCCCTAACCATTAGAAAAAGGAACATCAAGAGCCTGCATTATATTTGTCACATACCACAGTTTTACATAAATAGCCCTTGAGCAAGAGACACAGAAGTGGGGACACACAAGCATATTCCCTTTGTGTTAGCCAACTGTTCTGGTGAGACGTGGGTGGACAGCTTTAAGAGCACCATGAAGTAAAGCTTAGTGTCTGGCAATGATGGCAAGCCATTACATAAAAGGAACCATTTCTAACCTACACTTCCTTCCTAGCCACACTATCCCTCCTTTTACCTCACAGCAGTTCAGTTTGGGCCAGATTCCTCTGCAATTCAAATAAATTTAATCCAATGCTAGAAAAAGGTATAAACTCAATCAGCAAATTTAGCCAAGATACCAGATAAGTAGCTTTCAGTTCAGAAGATAGTTAAATATTTGAATGCTTTCCCCTATATATACACAAGCCTTCAAAAGTTGCATCTTTTACAATCTGGAAGACAATAAGGAGAAGTGTAATTTTTTGGTAGTCCAAAAAGACGCTAAGTTATCAGGAATATATACAACTACACAATTCAGGGCAACAGTCTAATTTTAGTCAGTCTTGTTCACATACACTGATACTCCACTATGAGCCATTTCAACTCGCGTATCTGGCAAGAAACTTCTGAGCTTGTTAATTAATCTGCTCAATAGATAACATGACCAAAGCCAAAACTGATGCGAGCAAAAGAAAAGAACAATGTGGGTAAGGGGAGAATGAACTTTAAAATCCTTTCTTGCAGTGGTGGGGAACTGTGGTGCTACAGAGTTTTCCCTTGAAACCTGGGAACCACTTCTAAAATGGAATCTGTAAAGCAATATGAGAACTAAGGGGTCACAGACCATTAAGTTGACTGAATTTGGCAACTCTACACTTTCCCTAGACAGCATGAGAAGTCTGCTATTGAAGTACTTTGACCATCCACCATTATCACTAAGTGATACTAAAGCACACAGCAGCTGAGAGTTGGTATAAAGGAAACCCCACATTAACTTCAGACTTATGGCCTTTTCCACTTTCTGCAACAGCAAACACATTTGAATCCAGATTGAATTCAAGAATCCTACACCTGTCCCAACATTTTCCAAGCATTTCATTGGGTCTGCAGCCTGTTACTGAGAATTCTATTAGAAGAAAATAGAAGAGCACAACACAAATCAAGCACACTTTGACATATCAGTTAACATATTTAATTATGTGTAAGACAAAGGTAAAGCCTTTTTCAAGCTTGAAGTCCTGTTCTAGTGGCTTTTATGACAGTGGCATCTAGTTACTACTGTAACATTGATAATTATAAGCCATACAAACATGGTCACACAGAAGAAAGCTTTCAGGGTTGCAACACAAATACTGCTGCATTTATAGAGGTTAAGCATTGTTCTTGGTGCCAGGATAGCCTTTTACCTCAAACAGTGAAGCTTCAAGTGGTAAGCAACCAGAACAGGCTTCAGCAGCAGCTCCATGACTAAGACTGGCTTTTGCCCTTTTTCCCGCCAAGGAATAGTTTACTTAACTTTCCTTCCATGCATCACTGTAGTATTTACAAGCACTAGCCACCCTGAAAGCAGTGATCAGAGTTACACCTTTTTTAGTGTTCACCACTACAGTAACAGTCAATATTCTCTGTTATACTGTCAGTGACTATGTACTCATAGCACACAACAGGTTACAGTTGTTTTTCCAACAGCTCAACTGAGACCAGAAGGGGCTCCAGACATCCCGGCAGAGCTGAAACTGACATTTCTCTGATGAGCAAGCAGCTAAGTCACTCTTCTCTTGCAAATGCTTATCTGTAGTTGCTTTGAGACTTAGAACACCCAGCAAGTAACCACCCACAGTGCTATTCCCCTCCTCACTTGAGGGAGTCTCAAAATGGTAGTGGAAGGAGGGAACATTAGGGAGAATGGACAGTGCTTCCCAGGAGCAGTAGAAAGACCAGAAAGGAACAGAACAAGAAGGTTACAAAAGAAGTAGTGATGTTGGATAGACAGGAAGTTATATTCTAGGCGAGGAGGTAGAAAATAAGGTACACAGCTGCTTTGGTCCAGAAAAGCCTCACAGGCAGGATCAGAGTCAGAGTTTAACTCCTTATAACTGATCCCAAACAGGGCGAGGATGATACATCCTGGGGAAGGAGAACTCCACACCCAAGAGGACTACTCTAGCAGCTTGCAGATGTGATCCACCTGCACACAAACCGACCTGCACGACCTTAGCCTGAGGGAATACCTTGCTCTGGCACCAGCTCTACACTTACTGAGCAGAACCACTGCTTTTAACCACTGTTAAACACTAGTGTTAAACCACTGTTTAATACTACTAAATTAAGGTTCCAATCTACCACTCCCACCTTGCATTTTAGGTTTGTTTTCACACTATTAGACAGCCAACAAAGTACTTAATGCATCACTTAAGTACCCTCTTGGAAGGCTGCCTTTCTATTATCATTCATTTTATTAAGTTGTAAATAGTATTCTTAGAATTAAACAAGCAATATTCCTCACAGTTTTGCAGCCATCCTTTTTCAAAAACAAGTAAACAAATGAAGTTGTACACCTCACACACTTCTTGTTTTTCGCAGCAAAAGTGAGAAAGAGCAACAGTACACACTATTCCAAACAGTCTCTCCCAAAAGTTTTCACTTGAGGGGATAATAAGTACTCACCAGGCACACCCACATTTAAGGAACCACCAAAACTCACACTAATCAAGAACACTAGTAGATCATTAATTTGCAGAATAAAAGCCTTTCTCAACAGGAGCCAAAGGCTTGAAAATGCTCACTTCTTTTAAAACGATTTCTAGGTCTACAGGACATAAGGGCACCCAAAACCAATCCTAAGAGACATGTACTTTTACACTTTTCACAACACACTAATGAAAATAAAATTAGTTATGCAAAATAAGCTAACAAGCTTTTTTAGGAGTTACTTCTAGAAAAGTTGTAGTTTAAGCAAGGCTAGAATATCTTTTTTTCACTTTACAATTTAAGATTTTAAGTCTACAAAATACCTTGGAGCTTCTGTCCCAGCTACATCTTCACTGACTGGTGGTGAATACATCTGCTTTAGAAGATACTATCTGCTATGGCCAAAAGCCTTCTGTTGCTTAATTTTACACACTTTGAAGGTTTTTGTTTCCCCAAAATTCATACTTTGTCCTCCAATACCAGCAACTTTATGAAAAAGTAAAAGTTCTTCCAGAGCCTCCTAGAAAATTATTTCAGAGGTACAGCAGCATTAGGAGATAATAAAAGCATCTTTGGAAAACCAAGACAAAGGCATCATCACATTTCACTAGGCTAAACGCCTTCCTCTATCAGTCAAGGAAGCATCCTACAGAAAACTCTCGTACTACCCTGTCCTCAGGCATTTTTCCCCCTGAAGCTATCTACTTTCATACTGGAAGGAAACTACCTCAAACACTGAAGATACTGGCAAGTTCCAGGAAAATTCCCTGCACTGACACCGGGAGCAGAAGGGGGGGACAGCAGACCGCCATTTTCCAGTCGGTGATGAAAACCAAGTCTCAGACCATCACAGCGAGAAACTGTGTTCTGATGAAGCTTAACACAGCCCAGCTCGCTTTGAAGAAGGCGCAGCCTCTTTTAGATCCGTGAAACAATATTGAGGATCATCAGAAACACAACTTGCAAGCAAAGTGCTTTAAATGTAGAGCACGTAAAGTCAAGTTCCCATTTTAACATCAGTGAAGCTCCTGTTTGCACCAGAGGCAGCTAAAGTGTTGTTACTCAAGGGCAAGAGATGAAGCTGGCATACACAAGTGTATCTGTTAACTTTTCGACCACCTCCAACTAATTAAAAAAAAAGGATCCTTTCCTCGATACAATCATTTTCCTTTGTATCTATTAGGGGTTTCTGTCTTCCATGGGTTACATGCCACAAATACTCCACGAAGTAATTTAACTTTGCATTAGAGACATCAAGAGGCTTAGGGGGGACTCCAGACTTCTCCTCATCTCACCTCCACGGCCCCGCCACCCCCGTTAAGCTCCCCACAAGCTCCCGCAAAACGGCAGCGCCCGCACAGTCCGATGTCCCACCGCACACCGCGTTAGCGGCTCCCTACGGCGCACCAGCGGCCCGAGGCTCCCACCACCGCCTCTCGTGTCACCGCCTCCCGCACCTCCGCGGCTCACCTCTTCCTCCCGGGACGCCGTCGCCTTACCGCCCCCATCCCGAAACCACCCGCGTCCCCCATGCAACGCAGGGAGGGAGGAGGAAGCGCCGCGGCAGGCCCCCGCCATCAGCCCGCGCCTCGGGGCCTGGTGCAGTGCAGGAGGCGGCCCTCTGGCGCCGGCCAGGGGCGGGAGCGCGGCCATGCACTTTCCACGCCCTCGCTCACCTCGTCGTCGTGCTGCTGGCAGTAGCTGGCCCGGTCGGGGAACACCGAGAGGATGTTGTAGGGCGAGGCAGGGTAGGACGGGTTGAGGGCGATCGGCGCGGCGGGGCCGGCGGCGAAGCGTTCGATGAAGTGGTCTTTGGTGAGTCGGACGCGCTGGTGCGCCCGCACGCAGTTGTCGCACAGGTGCTCCTGGCAGTCGAGGCAGCGGGAGCTGGCAGCGTTGCCCTCGTCACAGGAGCTACAGCGGGGCTCGCCCTGCCGGCTGTGGGGCCTCCGCAGCAGAAGCGCCGCCGAGCCGCCGCCGCCGCCCGAGGACGACGACGACGATGTCGAGGAAGGCGCAGCCGAGGCAGCGGCGGGCGAGGAGCCGGCGGCGCGGGGAGGCGGCGGAGGGCGGCCGTGGTGGCGGTTGTTGCCGCCGCTTCCCCCTCCCGCGCCGGAGCCTGGGGTGGTTCCGGCCCCGGCGGCGCGGCCGTTCTTCTGCTCGTCGGCAGCGGCGGCCACGACGACGACGTCCAGCAGGTTGCTGAGGAGGAAGTTGGAGGAGGGCAGCGCGTCCATACCCGAGGGCTCCGAGATCACCACCTTCTGGTCGCAGATGGGGCAGCGCAGCTTGAGCGCGTCCCCCGCCCCGGGGTGCCGCTGCGCCTCCAGGCACTGGCGGCAGAAGGCGTGCAGGCAGGGCAGGACGTGGAGCCTCCGCGGCGGGCCCCCGCAGGAGGAGCCGCCGCCGCCGCCCCCGGAGGAGCCGGAGGTCTGCGAGGAGGACGAGGAGGTAGAGGAGTTGGAGGAAAGGGGAGCCGGCGAGCCGCACATCTCCTTGCACAGTGGGCAGATCTGGAAGTCGGACTCGGGAAACGAAGCCATTTGCGATGGGCCTGACTCCTCGATGGGGGGTTAAAAATGTTATCTTCTCCCCCTCACCAAAATAAGAAAGACGAAAATGTGCTCAGAAAACACAAGAGGAGACAGGGGGCGTTTGGAAAAGGTAGTTCTGGGAGCGGCTTATGAGCAAGCTAGCAACGATCAGTCGTTTTGCCAAGTGGGATCGATTGGCCGGTTTTGCAAATACGGTGTCATCGATCCGGCGGTCTGCAGGGCGCTGGGTCCTCGCCTCGTACCGCTACTGGGCTTGCTGCTGCTCCTGCTGCTGCAGGGGGATATTTTGGTATCAAGGTATAGCTGTCCCGTTCTCTCTCAGCAAATGGATCCTCTCTTCCCTCACATGTACTTAACCCCCGATCCCCCACTGCATTAGACAAACTGTGTCGATTCCAGATCTGTCAATACCTCGCTCACTCTTTCCATCTCCATCTCGGGTCAGCAGTTTGACAACGTTGTTTGGTTACTTGCCGTCTTCCTGAACAGAAAATGCATGGGCGCCAACTGCCCGATCCCCACCGCATCCAGTGGGGACCGGGCCTCCGTCTGCCCGGGCTCGGCTCCGGTTCCCACGGCCGCAGGACGCAGTCGGGGCGGCAGTGCAAGTTCCTCTTGGCCGGGCGGACGCGGGTGGGGGGCAACAGGGGCTTAACTCAAGTTTCGCTCTTTCTTCTTGGGGCGTTGGGTTTTTTCCTCTTTTCCTTTAAACCTGCGCTTGTCGGGGGGGAAGGGGAAATTTCGTTTCAGTTCCCCCCTCCACTTTTGCAATCCAGAGCAGCTCTAGGAGAGAGAGAGGCACTGAAACACAGTGACCAGGCAGACTTCTCCAGCTCCAGTCCTCCCCCGCCGACGCCTGCTCCACCACCGCATGACTAGGGGGTGGGGATGGGGGCCGGCATTGGTGCCCACCCCACCGGCGGAGACTCACGCTGGCGGAACACAGAGGAGAAGGAGGAGATGGGAAGAAGAAAAGGGCTCGGAGGGGCAGGCTAAGGAGACCAAGTCCCCACCACCCCCCCCTCGCTTCTCGGAGCTCCCGCCGCACGCCTTCCTTTATGAGGGGCTCCCCGCGGTGGCGGGGGAAACGGTGAGCACACAGAACCACGCCACAAGCGGTGCCCGGTGGGCTCTCCCGGCCGGCCGGTCAGCACCGAGGGCTCGACGCGGCTTGCACACGCCACGGCGGGATGGGCACAGGAGCAGCGGCAGGTCCCCGCCGGGCGCCCTGAATTATTCATGGAGGGGGGTATTATATTCTCTCGCACAAATTGGAGCCGCTGTGCAATGCTATCCAAGAGCGCTACGCGCTTCCCCTCCTCCTCTCCAGTTCTCGCTCGCTCTGAGCCCCTGCAGCGCCTAGGATCACATTTCCTTTGTCATCTCGCCTCTTCGCGTGGTGTTTTATTAAGAAAACAAAAATAATATAAAATCCGAAGAGGAGGAGGACAGAAGGGAATGAAAAAATAAAAACACAAAAAAAAAAAAAAAAAGCCTCAAACTCCCGCCTCCCCTGCGATCTGCAGAGCCGCAGCCCACCAGCCCTGGGGGGTAAATTAGCAGGAATTACTCACTGATGCGGCAGCACCGTCCCGGGCGGCGTGGGATCCGGGGAGAGCCATCGCGCTGGGCGCCTTCCCCCTGCCTGGCGGAGTGCGGAGGGGCAAAGCCGGGGGGGGCGGGGGGAGGGGGGCCGGCCCTCGGGGGCGGGGGAATTGGGGGCGCGGTGTTGGCGGCAGCGTTGGCTCCGTCCCCGCAGCGGGCGGCGGCACTGGCGCGGCGCGGCGTGCGAGAGCCTTTTAAGCTCCGACGGCGCGGGCTGACTTCCGCCCGGCTGCGGGGGGCGACCGGGGGGCGGTGGCGGCCGGCAGGAAACATTCGCCCTCCTCTCCCCCGACCTGCCCCCATCCGTCCGCATTCAGCCCGGCCGACCCCCGGCCCGTACTACCCCCCCGCGATATTTTAATACCGGTTTTCGTTAGTGGGACCCACCACCACTTTCTCCTTTGGGTTTGATGCGCTGCCTCTCCGCTCGCCCTTCGTTTTCAGTTTGAGATGCGAGTGGGGAAGGAGCGAGGCTCCGGGGGCCGTTCGTTGAAAGCATCAGGGCATTAATGCAGCTTTAAACATTAAATCGCTCGATTAATTGTTTTCTTACGGCCAGTCTACGGGCCACCGGCTTCTTCCCGCGCCGTCGCGGTCGCTGCCGGGGCGGTCGTCGCCGGGGCAGCCGTGCCCGGGAGGGAGAGCCCCAGGTTTGTTGCTCGCCGGGGGCAGGCAGAGGTTTCTTCTCCTTCAAACTGCCGCGACGAATTTAGCAAAAAATTACAGGTGATGCCGTTTGCAGTGCTCGCTGCGAGACCAAACCTAAATAAACCCTCAACAATTACGGGTTTTTAATGAACCCCTCGCAACCAGCGGCTGCTGGAAGGGAAGTTGCAGCTGCTGCGCAAGTGAGGGGCCACCCTCGTTTTGGTGGGGCTTGTGCTAGCAAGGGGGGACACATGGTATCTTACCCTCAACAAGAGAACCGAGGATGCTGAAACATTTTAAGAAGTGGAATTGGCTTAGGGATTGAAAAGCCAGAAAGAAAAAAAAAAAGAAAACCAAATAGGAAAAAGAATAGAAGTAGGAAAAGATATAGACAGATTTGTGAATGAAACAATCTGTAAATAAGCAAAATAAACTCGAAACAAAATAATATTAAGTAATGATAATAAATTTAAAGGCAACCCACAGAAAACAAAAACGGGCTATTAAAATATATTGAATTATGTTCTCTTCTGTTTAGGCCTTAGATATATAAATAACTAACACTATTTAGGCCTTACACACACACATAACACTAATTTAAATCATCTACTTAAAAATGTCTTTTTTTCCTTTGCTGACAAGTACTCAAGGCAGCTATGACCCATGCCTGTGAGGATTGCTCACCAAGAGCCCTTCAGAGAACTGAGAATCTCGGGAATGCTAATGCCCTTGTGGGAGGCCAAGTGATTGGAATTGCTGATGGAGTCTATGGGCAACAAATGTGTGTTAAGTTGTAAACAAACATGAATATTTATTATGCATTTATATTATTTATATTTATTTGTTAAGCATTTATATTTATTATGCCCCTCTAGTATATTCAGCTGAGAACTTGCCTTAAGTATTACTAAAGGATTGGGGTCTGTGTTCTTTATATGTTCACATTTGAGCATGCAGGTGAAACCCACCACAACTTTGGCTAGCAGAGGTTGAAAAATCACTGAGCCTTGCCTGTGTTTGTCCTGTGGTTGCTGCAGATGATTATGATGCTGCAGAGCTTGTCCTTTTCCAGATGAAGCCTGTTAGATGAGAAGAATGGTAACTTCCCGAACAACAAACATGCAGTGGATCCATGTGGGTTTCCCAGATAGCCCTTTCCACTAGCTCCCTACAGTAGGAAACATCATCTTGTGTGTTCAGAAATATTTTAGTTAGGCAGGAATTCCCAGATGCACGTCTCCAGGCATCTGACACCCCTCAGTGACAGCTGTTTGCTTTCCAGCTTCCTGGTTGAAGAGGGGAATTTTGCTTATCAATGCTTCAAATGGCTCTAAAGTGTCCATGATTCAAATGGCTCTAAAGGGTTCATGAGACTACCTAGATGCTGCAGAGGGTCCATTTCGCTGACAGGATCCACCATGTTTGTGCCAAAGCTCCTGAAGCTTGTTTGCAGCTTCAGCCCTCCCTGAGCTTGTAAAAGGGCATAAGCAATTCACTGTCCCTGAACAGTCCTTATTCTTCAGCTGTCATCCTCATACTTGAGCACTACATCTCTCTAAATCAAAGTCCTTTTCTTATCCCTCCACCACTGTCAGAGGAGTGAAATATTTTGAGGCTTCCTCTGGTTATGGATGGCTTTTTGTCCTCGTTGTAAAAAATGCTGAAATAAAGCTAAATGGAATACACCAATATTATACTCCATTATGAAATGTTAACTGCTTGAGCACTTGTGCACTCAACTACACAGCAGATAGCACTTTTGTGTACATTTTTCTGCTTACTACATTGACTGGATTTTTTTTGATCCGATTAACTTGTTCTGCTATAAAAAAAAAAAAAAACACAACCCTTAGCACTTCTCAGATAGAGCAAGGCATCAATATATTTCATTTGTTCTCTAAGCCAAAACCACACAGGGGTGAATAACAGTGCTAGGGTGATAGGTGAAGTACAAGAGGCTTCTGGTTCTGGTAGACAGCAGGATGAGAACTTATTTTTATGATTTTTTCCCTGGGAAGCAGCTGCTTCATATTTACCCTTTTTGTTTCTTAAAAACAAAAGAACAATAGCTATCCTGGTTAGTGGGGCTATTGTCCCTCTGTGCCAAATACATGCAATCTTGCTGCTTACGTGAGCATCTGAGGTATTTCTCTGCATTCTGCTTGTGCTCCTTTGTGTCGCTCTGCTGAGATTTCTTGCATTTATTCCCTTCTTTCCAGTATTTTTCACACCTGTTTCTCTCATCTTTCTTTTGCCCTCCATTCATATGCTCTTGCTGGTCTGTTTTTGAAAGGGTGTAGTTTGTGCTAAAGGTAAAACCCATCATTTAAACTGTGTTGAAAACATAACTATGTCAAGATCACACTGGATCTGTGTTAAAACGTTAACCATTAAAACATTTTAACAGTGATAAAATCTTGGCATGATTAGCCAGATCTTCAGGAGATCTGAAGGCGCATCAAAACATCTCTGAAGGTATTTCCACCTAGTGAAAAACCTCTGTTTGGCAACACTTGCCTGTCCTTGACTAACTGCCCAGCCACTGCAGCTAAAGCGTGCATTAAAAAGGTCGTGGTGGGTTTTTTTTCCCCTTTCCCCTTATATTTAAGTGGAAAATAGGACATAGATTGGGACAGAGGACTGCACCTGAGTCATTCTGTAGTATCTGCTTCCCATGCCAGGATGCGTTTTCCACTGTCTGTACTTGGAAGCTTCTTTTGCTTGAACGAAGGCATCTGCTTTCTGCCAGAAGCACTACAGGACAAACAGAATGGTGTTCCTACCAAAAGCAATACAGCTGGAAAAG